CTTGTATAATTTTTTTTTTATTTCAGCATAATTGAGATGGGGGTTCAGATTTTGAGGGTTTCAAATAAATGCCCATTTTCCCCCCTCCCCCCAAAAAGGTCTGAGTCTCCATCATCGACCATCCCCCCTATGGTGACATCTCACTCATTATGTATGAGTAGTATACCCACCCCTGCCTCTCCTCCCCACCTTGCCCAGATACCTATTACTGTAGCTACCTATGCTTGTCCACTTAGGTGCCTACTCATGGAAGAGTACTAGGTTTGCTGGAGGGAATAATTCGTGGTGCTTGTTTCTCCATTCTTGGGATACTTCACTTAGGAGAGGTTCCAGTCTACGCGAGAGAAGGAGAAGATGTGCGCTGATATATCAACACTGTTGCTTAGACGCTGGCAATAGTACTCCAGAGTGGAGGCATATACCACATTTTATTAAGTCCATTCTTGGATTGATGGGGCACTTGTGCGTGTTTCCACAGCTTGCAGGAAGAAGTTGTGGCTGGCTATAAACATTGCTTGAGTGCAGGTTCCTTTTGTAGAGTGGCGAGAGTTTTGGGTAGATGTCCAGCAATGGAGCTGGGTCAAAGTAGAGAAGCGCGCGTTTGAAGGTATCTCCATATGCGTTTCGCACAGAGGTTTGAAATAGTTTTGCGAGGTCCCACCAGCAGGTAGAGTGTTGCGCACAACCACGCCAGCGAAGAGATTTTTTGGAGAAAGGCCATTCTCCACGTGGTTAAGTGATATCTCAGTTCGTGGTTTTGTCGTTGCATTTCCCTGATGATTAAAAGGAGCGAGCAAGGGTATTGTTGGCCATTTTCTGTCTTCTTTAGAAAAGCTCTGTTTCAAGTCTTTGCCACTTGTTTTAATGGGCGTTATTTTGATGTTGGAGGTCTAAGTGATATTCTGAGAGCAGTCCCTTATCGGAATGCATTAGGAGCAAAGAACTCCATTCTGGTAAGCGTTCTCCTGTTTACTTTCATGACTATTTTCTTTGGCTGTTGCAGGAAGCTTTGTAGTTTAGAATCATGTCCCATTTTATTGTATTATTGTTGTTGCCTGTGATTGGCTTGGGGGACTTCGCGAAACGCTTGCCCAGGCGATGTCTAGAGAGTTGTTTCCAACTTTTTCCTGCTAGAGGGTTCTAATAGTTTCAGGTGTAGGGTTTCCAGTCTGTATGCCAGTGTGAGTTAGGTTTTTTGAGAGGTGAAAAGGTTTGGGTCCTGTTTTAGCCTTCTACAGGTGGGCTATCCGAGTTTCCAGCACCATTTATTGGAAAGGGTATTCTTTTCCCAGGTTGTACTGGCTTTGTCAAAGATAGATGCCTATATGAGGATGGGTTTTAATATCAGGATGCTCATCTGTATCCACTGTTCAAATATTCCGTATTTTTGTGCCAATACCATGATTGATTATATTACCAGCTTTCGTAGTATTAGTGAATGCTCCCAGGTGTATTTATTCAGAAGCACAGCAGATGGAGCTGGCAGACGCCACAGCTCAGGTAGTAGACAGGGGTAGCCTTGGACGTGCACTTCCTGTCAGGCCACACAGACCCCTGGTTCTAAACTCATTCGGAAAATGCTATGGAGCCGTATCTTGGGAAGAAGAAAGGAAACTGTGCACACACACATAACCATACCACTGTGAAATCAGAGCTACTCACTCAAGTACTATTTTTATTCACAGTTCCATTGTCTTGAGACCTACTGAAAATAGTCAAAAGATTGAATTGCAATGTTACTTACATTTGTACTTTCTTTCCCAATCCATTCACCTGGTTATTTTTTTCATTCATTTGTAGTACATTTGGTGCTGTTTTCTTTTGTTTGTGCTCCATCTGGATGTCTCTTACCTTTGTTGATTTCAGGTATTTATTTGAATAGAATATGTGTGATATTAATACAGTCCCCAAAGACACAAATATACACAAGCAGCAAAGGTGTACTCAGAGAAGTGACACGTGTGACACATGTCTAATCCCCTCTCTCCCATTGCCATGCCCCTCCGTCAACAACTCCCTCCCACTTACGCCTCCCAATGAACTGTGGTTCACACACCCAGTTTTGTTTGTTTGTTTGTTGGATCTCCCCTGCTTCTTTACAATAATAATTACACACTATAGATTCATTTTTGCATTTTACTATTTTCATTTAATAATATTATATATATCATCAAAATCACTCCATATCACTTCATGGAGAACTTCTTCCTTCTTGTACAAACTGCAAGTTTCTCTGTTGTGTGGAAGTACCATAGATTTTCAACCACAATTTTATGTGTGGACATTGTGGATATTTTCATTTTGCACATAATTAACAACAGTGCTTCAATGAATAACTTTATGCATGTGTACTGATAGGACAGCCTTGCTAATAAACTACCTAAAATAAAATAGAGGAATAAAATCAGCGTATAATTGCCCACTTGAAGGGAAATATCACAGCACAACAGCCTCTTACTGGAGTAACCACCTATTGTTTTGTTGGAGAATTGTTTTCACAGCCTTGACGACCCCTGAACACACAGCAGGGGATGAACTCACCATCTCAGTTCCTACAAGACCACGTCCCAAAGACCCTGCTAAGCCTCCCCACAGAAAAGAGAAAAAAAAAGAAAAACCAGACACAACCTTTTCACAGACATTTTCTTTTATTAGCTGGCAACAATTACATTTCGATGTGTCACACAATTCCAGTCAAACATTTATAAAATGAGAAAACACACAAATAATTTGTTACACTTAAAAAATACATAACAGGCCAGATATGGTGGCCGACACCCATAATCCTAGGGATCTGAGAGACCGAAGAGGAAGGATTGCTTGGGGTCATGAGTTGGAGATCAGCCTGAGCAAGGGAGAGATGACATTTCTACAAAAAATAGAAAATTTTACCAGGTGTGTTTGTACACACCTGTAGTCCCACATACATGGGAAGCTTAGGTAGGAGGATTCCTTCAGCCCAGTAGTTTGACGTTGCAAGGAGGTATGATCAAGCCACTGCTATGTATGAGGCAACACTCTGTCTAAAAATAAATAAATAATCCAAAAGCCCTAAGGGTTCTTTTTTTCACAGCTAAAAATTGGCTTGCATCAGAGTCCCAGTCTCCAAAACTAACTTCCAGTAATCAGTGTAATCATATCTGACAACATAAAAAGTTTTGAGAAAACAAAGAAATTATGCATTATTTACAGAACTACAAAAATTAAATATGAAGAAAATTTTTATTTTGAAACTAAAAAATGTATAATACACATAATGAGTTTCAAAAATAGAAACCCTTGAAAGATTTATTTCAGCTGACCAAGAGTTAAAATAAATCAGAGGACTCAAGAAGAGGAAACTGTGGTTTGTGATCGTAAAATGCCTTTGGGAAGAATAGAAATCACTCAATCCTAAAAGTTAATCTACCTAAGTTGAAAATCTGCTAATAAATTCAGTGTTGTTTTGTGGGAATAATTCCTCAAATATAAAGTATGTAACGCAATACAATTTGATGATAATAAAGTAATCTGTGTATACAATGACAATATTACTCATGCAAAAATAGGAAGCAGAATTGAAGGGGAATAACTTTTGCCATCATACTAATTTATGGCAAATGTAATGTCTAATATTTTTCTTGACTTGAAATTCAGAATTATAGATTTACACAGGCTTCACAAAAGAGATAAAATATATATGTGCCTATGCACTTACATTTTGATTCCTCAATTTCTTTCCACCCTCTCTTGTTTGAGATTAACTGACAGTGCTCAGTCTTTAATAAAAGCAAAAACATAGAACATCTAATTTCTCAAGTTGCTTTCACTCTACGTAAGGAATTGTGACGAGTGAACTAGCGAGAGGAATAGATGACCGTGCTCAGTCCTTTCACATTCAGCACTAGTCCACACGTCCAAGGTCCTCAAGACAGACACGCCGTATGACTACAAGCAAATTATTGCTCAAATTTTCTTTTTTCCCACAGAAAGATTTCATTTCATATTCTTCAGCTCTCCATCTTTCATTCTGATCTGTTCTCCCTAGTTTATATCTTGAACCAATTCTTCCTTATCTGACCAAACTTTTCTATCTCTAGCCTGTCCCTTCCTCTGAACAACCTTGGGAGTGAGTTGGCATCCACCAGGAGGAAAAGAACATGTACCCAGGCTGGGTAAGACCATGAATCCTTTAAGAAGTGTTTAATCTCCCGGTGTGGGAACAAAACAAAACAAAAAAAAAGAAGTGTTTAATGAACATCTCGGAGCTCCCTTGGATTTATTTTCTTACATCCTGAGCTCTTCTGAACACCTCCTCACCGAGAGGTTTGTCCTCATTTCCTGAGTTGGTAGTAAAATAGAGTATTTACTTTGCTAGTAGAAACAGAAAATGGTGCAGCATGTTTGGAAAACAGTGCAACAGTGCAAGTGTTTAAACAAAGAGCTACCACATTATCCAGCAATTCCACTGCTAGGTATTAATATATACCCAAGAAAAATATAAATATATGTGCACAAAAAACTGTACTTGAATGTTCATAGCAGCATTATGGGTCCATCTGTAGAACTACTGAGGAACAGCTTTGTCCATAAAGAGAGTCCCCAGAATTCTCTGTGATGCTTTTCAACTAGGGGGATGACCTTGAACAACTCCCATGAACCAATCTATCTGGGTTTTACTCATCTTGTCTCCACTGAATGGTATAGCAAGGATAATTCTGTGTCTGCTTTTGCTTTCCTATTATTATTTTGGAATATTACAGGGGTACAAATGTTTAGGTTACATATATTCCCCGAGTCAGAGCTACAAGCATGCCCATCCCCCAGATAGAGTGCGCTGCACCTACTAGGTGTGAATATACCTATCACCCCCTCTCCCTCCAACCTTCTTGACACTGATGAATGCTATTTCCATACGTGCACATAAATGCTGATCAATTAATACCAAGTAGATAGTAGATATATGTGGTGTTTCTTTTTGCATTCTTGTTTTACTTTAATTAGGAGAATGTCTTAATATTACAATGCTGCTTTTTTGTGCCTTGGGCAGATGCCCAGTACTGGGATTGCTGGATCAAATGGTATTACTACTTTTAGGTCTTTGAGGTATCTCAATATTACTTTCCATATTAATTGTACTAGTTTGCACTTAATTTAAAGTAAAAAAAATAACTTTCATGTTCAGTGATAATGCTATAGGTCTTAGAAGACAAAAAAAATTTCCTAACAAAAGCAGAAGAAAACAGGAAATAAATTTAAAAAGTCATGTTTGTGATGACATGAGAGCACTATAGAAGAAATAAAGAGCAGATGACTTAACATTCCAATGAGGCAATAGCCTTTCTAGGTGATCTGATGTTCTCCTGTGATTGTGTTCTTTAGTGAAATTTGCAGATTTGAGTGTGCTTGAGAATTTGAGCTCAGCCCATGCAGAAGATTCTACTAGTAGGAGAATCCAGCTGAGTCTGGCAGGTAAGGTGCGTGGAGCCACCTTAGCAGGCTGGACCAGGGCTGAACCCATAACATCAGGCAGTATTTCACCTTGGGACATTAGCTGAGGTCTGGCCAGGAGCAGTGGCTGGGCCTGGACCACAAAGGTGGAGTTAAGCCTCCCTCATTCCTGCGGGTTTCCTTCTATAAAGCTGCACTGAATGTCCTTCATGTGTGTCTCAGACGTGGTTCCTGCATCTCCTGATGATCTTCCAGCCCAAGCTCCACCATGGTCAACTCTGTATTATTTTCATGCAAGGTCTCTCCTGAATGACCATTCTCTTTCCAGTCACATCCAGATATAAGATGGGGGAAGAGTCAATTTTGGAAGCTCATCTCCACCCTGCTGGGATGACTAGGAATGCTTCATATGACCTAAAGTCCATGTGCTAGGACGTTGGCTAACCTGTGGTTCACTGAGGCCTCAGAGCCCTGCGTGATGCAAGACTTCCCCACCAGCTTGCAGGGACATCAGGGCACAATCTGAAGGCCAGTCAGGAACTAGTCATCACTGTGAGTATTTCCAAGAAATACATATATGATTCCATCAGGGTTTGTAGCTCAACCCCAACATCACCAGCATTCCCTCAATGAAAAATGTGAGCATCAGAGTTGGGTGTTGCATCAACAGCTGCTGTCTGCCACGTGTCCTTCCATGTGTCCTTCACTGCTGCCCCAAACTCTAATATTCTTATTCTTGGAAGACAAAAGTACCTTATATTATCTTATATTTTCAAATATTCTGTTGAATGTGCCATATAAATATATGGCTTCTGATTCTTCCATACTTGATCATTTATTTTTACAGTCCAGATATGGAATTCAAAAACCTTGCCTTTTATTTCAACATGCTATGACTGAGACTAATCAAAAACTTTGACACATGACTTTTGCTTTAAAATAGATTTACAAAGTCTATGGAGCAGTCAAAGCCCAAGAAAATGGACAATTTTACTTTGGTACTCCCTGAAATGTGGTATGAAATGCTGTGTCTGCCCCTTTATTAGGCAGACATGTGCTAAAAATATAAATAAATAAAGGTGGGGGGATTGTGCACGTGGGTGTAGGGGAAGGTTTAGAGTCTATATCACTAAACGAATCCCGGTCCCTATACACTAGTAACTATTCAGCCAAAATAAAATCCAAAAAATGCATTACTTTTGGATTTCCATCAATCAGACTGCATGAAAAACCTGTTACACTAAATGGATTTAATTGACAAATAAATGTATGGCGGGCAGGGAAGATTAGAATCAGCTTTCATTCAACTTTCTCTTCTATCCTGTCTGGTTTCTCACAGGGCACTTGAACCCTTTCCATTCTCCTGTAGGTTCTGCCAGGCCAAGGCTGTCACAGCTAACAGATACTATATGTGCCTGCCAAGGTGAAGCCATAGCCCTCATGGTCCAGATCAGTGGCCTGCACATATTCTTTGAAGTTCCCTGCAATGTGCTCTATGGCACCCGAACACTAGACAAACAACTCGGTTGAGCAGCTGGGCCACCCAGCAGAGAGGTTTGTGTTTAGGGCTGTACCACTGTGGGAGGAGGTTGTAGAGCTTGCATGCAGTAATAAACCCCGACATCTTCAGCCTCCACCTTGCTAATCTTCAGTGTAAAGTCCGTGCCTGACCCACTGCCACTGAACCTGTCTGGTACCCCAGAGGCCCGGGTGAAACCCAAGTAGATCAGGAGCTGTGGAGACTGGCCTGGCTTCTGCAGGTACCAATACAAATAGGTCTTTCCATCGCTATGCAGGAGGCTCTGGCTAGACCTGCAGGAGATGGAGGCCGGCTCTCCAGGGGTGACCGGCAGGGACACTGGAGTCTGGGTCATCACAACATCCCCACTGGATCCTGAAATAATGAGAGAGAAGATCAAGGTTATGTACACACATTAGGAGACATTTTCACAATTTTCTTTAGTTCTTTCAGGCTAAGTTATACTTCATACGTGTGACTTTGATTCATTTTCCCAAAACATTCAATTTCAAAGAGAAGAGAAGTTTTCACATCAGGAGAGAACCTGGATAAGTCCCCTACACAACCCATCTTTCTGTTTCAGAGTCTTCACCAAAAAAATTGCTCCTTCAGAAACCTTCCTCACTCTCTCAGATCTAAGCCTGACTTGTCCCATCCTGGAGGACAAGACGTGCACATCTAACACATGCACAGAGCACACGTGGCAGGCAGTGGGGCCCCACAGCTCACTCTCCCACCCCGTCCTCCTTCCTCATCTCCTTCTGTCCTTACCAGAGACCCAGAGCACCAGCAGCCCCAGGAGGTGAGCAGGGAGCCTCATTTTGAGAAGTTGGACTGAGGAGTCCTGGTCAGTCCAGGCCAGGTTACGTCTGAGCTTTTATCTCAGACTTCTAGGGGCAGGTCCTCCCCAGGGGACAGTATGCAAATGCCCTGGTGGATGCAGTCCTGTGGAACGAGCCAACAAGAGCGTGGTTGTGTCTCTTGTGAGCAAAGTAACAGAAAATGTTCTCTGTGGTTGGAGGGAAACTAACAGAGGAAAAAGTCTATTTAGCTCCAGTAGGAGAAAGGACATATTATACGTTTTCCTTCCTTTTCCTCCACTTTTTATAATAGTTCTTCAGCATTTTCCCAGGCACACTATACATTTCTTTTATGAGGTTGATTTTGCATAAATATTTGATGAATTGGTTTTTATACCTGCTTGTATTATAGATACTAGGTTTGGTCTTTTCTATTCTTTTATGAGATAAAACACATAAAGGGTAGAAATATTAAATGTACAATTAATTTTTTATGCATAGTTTCCAAATGAAACTATAGAACATTTCAGAATCCCCAGATAGTTCCATCATGCACTTTCCCTGTCAGTCACTGCTCCCCTGTCCCAACCAAGGTGACCGTCCTTCTGACATCTGTCACAAGTGTGTCTCTTCCTGAAGTTTAATGTCATATAAGTTAAAGTAAACATTTTGTTGTTGTTTCTAGTTTCTTTTTTGTTTCTTGCCTGGTTTTGAGGCCCTCATTCTTTCCTGTTCATTCAGGTTATTTTCATTTCCTTTAATTCTGAAAAATTTCCTCTTAAATTTCTTGCAGAGAGTGTATGAAAGTAATCATTTCTCCTGATTTGTTTTTATCAAGAGTATGTTTTTACTTTGTCTTTATTTTTGAAAGCTGGGAAAGGAAAAGAGTTTAACCGGTTTAGGGAAACTGCAGATTTGTAGAGAGTGGTTTTATAGGTTCAGGAGTCAGAACAGAAGTTTTCAAAACTGCCGAGGAGAAGAGAGCCTGAGTCTGTGCTGGGGGATGAGCTGTGCCCATCGGAGTGGAAAGGAGATTAGAGGACCATCGCAGGAAGAGTCCTTTGCCTGCACAGACAGCAACATCTGTCTTCTGGGAAATGAGATCAGTAGCTGGGGAGTCAGAGCCGGGTCCTGCTCCTCTTTGTCACTGTGGTCATCTGTGCACACACACTCCTGGGGACAATTGAGTGTTCCTCTTTGTGGCAGCCTCAGGACCCTTGGGAAAGGTTGCTAAGCACCAAATGAAGGCATACTTGCAAAGTAAAGTTCTGATCAATTCTTCATTCCAACAGGATCCAATCATGTACCAAGGTGTAGAAAGACAGAAATGAGTCCAAAGGCTTCTATTTTGTTCCTAGCAGGCATGTGCCACACAACATCTCACTGAGTCTAGATGTGTGGTAAAACAGGAAAACACAGATTATATTCTGTGACCTACACAGAAATTCTACAATCAGGCTGAGCTAATGGCTTTTACTTTCCCCATCACCTGAGCTAAAGCTGACCAATATAATATTACACATACTGCCACATAGATAGATGTATTAAATTAGAACTGATGGCATAAATATGACCATTTAGTAGTCCATTTAGAAATACATTAAGAGGAAATTAAAACAAAATAATCTATGAATAAAAAGAAATGTGCCTCATCTATGGAAAAAATGTACATATAGGAGTAAAATCCCTCAAAATTCCATGGCTAAAAACACTGAGCTTTTATTTTCATGTTCGTGGGTGTTCATGTTAACAATCTTCTGGCTGATCAAGGTGGTCAGCAGGGTGGTTCTACTGTGGGACACTGAGCTTCTCTCTAGCCTTTGGATTGTGTTTGATGAGGAGCCAAGATAGTGCCCACTCAAGGCAGAGCATCTGTAGGGCAAAGTAGCAGGACTGAACAACATCCCCAAACCAGGCTAAGCAGGCAAATGTAAGTCCAATCATGTCTAAGAAAGGTGCATATAATTTTAATTTATTCTTTTACTTTATTAATTTACAGTCTCTAAAAATATTTACTGCATTTAATTTTCAAGGTAATTGTGTATGGAAAAATAATTAGGTTTTTCATAATTTTTATTTTACTAATTTAATTACTTCTCCAATGTAATTTTGCTTTAAATAGAAATAAAGCTGGGTGTGTTTTCAACATAAGGCTTTCCTCAATGGGAAAAGAAATATCTTTAGCTAAAGGTAAATGTCCTTGAACACGTAGCTCCTTAAAACTTCTGTAGATTACCTGTGAAGTTGTTAAAATGAAGATGGTCATTCAGTTTGTCTAAGATGCATTTGCTACTTTGCATGTGTAACATGCTCACAATCATGTTGATGATGCAGCTGGCATCGGGACAAATGTTGAGCAGCAAAGTTTTCATATCAAGGAAAAAATATACTTTAGCACCTTAGGTTTTCTTGTTAGTCAAGAAAGGTTTTTCATATGTTTGTTAATGGTTGGTATAGATTCTAGGCTATTTTCTTATCTTTCAGTTTACTCTGTGACTTAAGAAAAGTTTCTTTCAATGATCCCATAGTTGCTACTAATGTGTGGAAGCACATTCAAGCATATTCTGACGCCATCACATACCTGAAAAGTTCTGAGATTTGGGCAAATATTGACTTAGTGTGGCTATAACAATTCAATCCCAACACCACCACCATTTCTGGAAGCACATTTCCCAAAACTGCTTTCTTTTCTGTGGTTTCTTATAGAGTTACTCAATCAGGTGCCCTCCTATCATATTTGAATGTCAGAAGAGGATGATTCAATATTCATAGACACCTGCAGGCAGACACTTGGACACACTGAGGAGTGGAGGATCCCCTGGTGAGGAGCTGCATCAGCTGAGAACGTCAGCACCCCCACCTTTGAGCCTCCAAGACCGGTCTGAGGACCACATGGCCAGGCAGCTCATGACATCAGTGGCAGAGAGACTCTGGCTACTGTCAGACCACCAGAGAGTCCCCTGTTTCTAGCATCAGCTTCCCTGACGACCCTACACCCAGGCTTGTACTTCCAATTCTAATTTCCTGTATTAAAGCAATTTTTGCTTCAAATCTGTAGAGTGGCTTGTATTTTGCTGTATGAACCCTGACTGATGCCATAAAAGAGGCTCCTCACGTATCATAATTGTTGTCCTTCATTAACTCAGGAGAGGCTTTGTCATGTCTGCACAGCTGAGGCTGAGGAGGAAGAGTTAGAACACAGAGGAGCCTCCCTGGCCCTGTCCACCAAAACCTTCACAGCTTGGCTGTCTCCAAGAAAAGCTCTGGGCAGATGGAGGCACCGGGAGGTGCAGCTCCAGCAGGAGCAGCTGGGGCAGCCCCGCCTCCCACATCTGCTTCCCTGGGGGGTTTTGTTCGGCCTTGTAACACTGTGTGAGGGTTATTTTTATACTGACGACAGAAATATGTTCCAGCATCATCAGTCTCCAGGCCTCTAATGGTGAGAGAATAATCTGTCCCAGACCCACTGCCACTGAACCTCGATGAGACCCCAGAGTGCAAGTTGGATGCTACATAGATCAGGGCCTTAGGTGGTTTCCCTGGTTTCTGCTGGTACCAGGATAAACGATTGCTAATGTCCTGACTGGCCCGGCAAGAGATGGTGACTGTGTCTCCTGGAGATGCAGACACGGAGGATGGAGACTGGGTCACCTGAATGTCGCATCTGGTACCTGAGATTGGAAACATAAAACAAACAATCATCTAATTAATATATTATAAGACGACCTCCCTGAGGCAGTACTGAGCACACTACTGAGAACATTCCTGGTGTTGTCCCTCCTTACCTGGGAGGCAGAGCAGCAGGAGCCCCAGGAGCTGAGTGGGGACCCTCATGTCCATGCTGTGCCCTGACAGGGACTGACTCCTGCACAGGGTGTGAACAGCCTGTTGATAAGACTGCAGGGCAGGGGCTGTGCTGTGGGAATATGCAAATCAGCAGGGGCTGGGCAGGCTGGGCACAGCTGCAGGGCTGGCTCATCTCAGTGACTCAGGACAGACCCAGTGTCCCCAGTGTCCTAGGTCAGACCAGGGCAGCACACAGATACTGCAGACAATGTCTTTTTCCTGGAGGACATTTTGTTGAAAAGGAAATTTGGGGGCACCATTTTTAAAATTTGAATTGGGTGTAGAGACTATATGGAGTGATGTATTTCAAAGTTGTATTGAGCGTATGTAGCACAATATTCTTATTTATAAAGAATGTAGGCCGGGCGTGGTGGCTCACGCCTGTAATCCTAGCACTCTGGGAGGCCGAGGCGGGCAGATTGCTCGAGGTCAGGAGTTCAAACCAGCCTGAGCAAGACGAGACCCCATCTCTACTATAAATAGAAAGATTAATTGCCAACTAATATATATATATATTATATATATATATATATATATATATTATAAATTAGCCGGGCATGGTGGCACATGCCTGTAGTCCCAGCTACTCGGGAGGCTGAGGCAGAAGGATTACTTGAGCCCAGGAGTTTGAGGTTGCTGTGAGCTAGGCTGACCACGGCACTCACTATAGCCTGGCAACAAGCGAGACTCTGTCTCAAAAAAAAAGAATGTATAATAAAGGCTTAGAGGGTGACTTTCTGGTACTCAACATGCTGTCAATTGTTTCCAGATGCGACTCTTGGGACACCTCCATTGCATCTCCTGCTGACCTCACCAGGCCCAGCTCAGCCTTCTGGTCCACAGCCCCTTCTTCTAAGTACATGGTCTCTTCTGAGTGACCATCCTCCCCAGTGGGAGAACAAATGAGACCACTCATCCCCAGGTGCATATGGAGGACAAATTCCATTTTTCGAAGGTCACCGATGTCCTCCTCGCTTCACTAGGAATGTGTGATATGACTTATGGTTCATTTAGGCAGGAAACTCACAAACTCTTGTGTCACTAAATCCTTAGAGCCCTGTGTGATGTGCCACTCTCCGTGACCTTGCAGTGGCACCTTTAGTGCCAGGCAGGTGTCCCTTCAGCTCTGTGATTCTTCCTGAGACAGACATCAGAGCTTCCATCTGGGTTCATATCTCAACCCCGACCCCACCAGCATTAACACCCCAAAATACGAGCCACTGATCTGTGTGCTGTGCCTACAGCTGCTCTCCACCACTCGCTTCCTGATCTGATTTACTTACCCTCCCCAAGGGCTTCATATTCTTCTTATTCAGAGGGCAAATATTAAAGCACATACTATCTTGTATTTATCAAAATTCTGTTGAACGTGGCATACTACACTCACTAATTCATTCAGACTTGGTTCTTGTTTGTATATTTTGAAACGTGGCATTGGAATTCAGAAAACAACATTTTTTACTTCAACTCATTTTGACTGAGAGTATTCAAAGACTTCTGAGACTAGACTTGATTATTAAATAGATTTGACAATGTCTATCTCTTAGTGAAAACACCAAGACTGTGAAATGTTATTCTTGGCGACTCCCCTGAGAACCTTTGCCTAGTTGGCTACACCCCTTTAGAACCTAAAGCCCTGCGCCTGCTCTGGTTCTGGAGACAGACGTGTGCCCAATAAGGGTAGGACACAAGTGATGAAGGGGTGAAGGAGATGTCATCATCACCAAATATTATCTGGCTGCATATAGACTAGTGACTATTAAGCCAAGGCAATATCAAAAAATGTGCCACTGTTTTGTTGTCATGAATCAGCCTCGATTGGTTGACTGTTAATCTAAATTAATGTAATTGACAAATGCATGCAAAAGAGAGAGAATTACAATGAGCTTCAGGTCAGAGAATCCAGTCAGGTCTCCCTTCCTCCTGTCTGGTTGCCCCGAGGGCACTTGGACCCCTCTAATCTGCTGCACGTTCTGCTATGCTAAGGCTGCCACAGTCGATGTGGTCCCATGTATGGAGCCTGAGCCGTAGCCAGGAACTCATGGTCCAGCTGCAACTTGTTCCCCTGAGGTCTCCAACATCTTCCTCTTACATAGATTCAGAGAATACATTCTGTCTGCTCCCTAGTGAAGGAAAAAACATGGGCAGCTGGGGCAATCCAAGAAGGGAGGATTTTGTTTGGGGCTGCACCACTGTGAGAAGAAACTTTGTAGTTTGCATGAGGTCATACACTCCTAAATCCTCAAGCTCCATCCACCTGCTGATTTTGATTGTGAATCTGTCCCACACTTGGTGCCACGGAACCTGTCTGAGGCCCCAGAATCCCAGGTGGTAAAGTTATAAATCATGCACCGTGGCAGTTGCCCCGGCTTCTGCAGGTACCAATGCCAATAGGTGTTTCCATCGCTATGCAGGAGGCTCTGACCAGCGCTGCAGGAGATGGAGGCGGCGCTCCAGGGGTGACCGGCAGGGACAGTGGGGTCTGGGTCATCACAGCATCCCCACTGAAATAATGAGAGAGAAGTGTAAGGTTGTGCATAAACTTTATTGGACATATTCATTTCACTATAATTTTTTTCAGGCTAAATCAATTTTTGCTAATTTTGATTTAGACTGAAAAAAACAAATATCCAGTTTACAAAATGAACATTTACAAGGCCCAAAGGAGCCTCTGGTAGTCACCTTCACTATCCTCCATCCCCTCTTCCTGTGTCAGAGTGTTCAGCAGAGCACAAGTCCTTCTCGTTTTAGAGTCTTCCTCACTCTCTCAGATCTAAATCTCACAGGCCCCATCCTGGAGGACAGGACACGCGCATCTAACAACGCGCAGGGAATGCACATGGGAGGCAAAGGGCCCTCTTCCTTCTCCAGGCCCTGTCTGGATAGGCCAGGGCTGCCAGTCTGGACTTCATGTCTCCTCTGCAGCGTCTCCTTGCTAGAGTTGCCAACAGAGGGCAGTAGAGGAGAGGGGGACAAGAGGCAGGAGAAGCCTCTTTCTCCCTGTTGGTGTCTGTAACTCTCCCATCCCAGAAACATCTTCACCATTGCAGAACCTGCACTTGGTTTCAGAGCAGAGGGTTTGAGGTTTCCAGCGTGTGGGTGCACTGTTCCTCCAGGATACAGCATCCACTTGGGAGGCGAGGCTTCCCCAGGTTCAGAATCCCATATCCCACGGAGGCACCGTCAAAGACCTAAAGTTGGACAGCTGCCAGCTGACTGCACCCTGACTCATCTTTACAACATTTTGCAACTTTTACAGGTGATTTCTCACAGAGAAAAGCGGGCCTAGGTGAGCATTCTATGTCCCCTGAAGCATGCAGGCTTGGAGCCCTGTCCTGAGGCCTGCAGAGTGCTTAAGCCTGGCTGCCTGAAAACACTGTCCCACCCTGTGCTGCCTGCCCTCACCACCCCCCCAGGACCAGCCTGTGCCACGGGCCTTGTCAACCTGTTTCGTGAGACATGTCTCAGCAATTTACCGACTATAGAACAATTCTGCTGCCCCTCAATCATTTGTCCCTGGGCTATTATGCCTTACTAATTCCAGTCTGCGAAAGAATAAGGACAGAAGATGCCTTGGATTCGTATGTGGGGGAAAATGTCTTGAGTATGAAGCAAATAATATTTTTTTTTTTATTTTTATTTTTAACACCCAGTCATATAGCAAATATGTTTTTAGAGAACAAAAGTTAAGAAATATCGTTGTCCTTCCTGCTGCACTGCTAGAGCAATCAGTGATCTTTCAGGTGGAAAGATGATTCCAGAAAGAAACCCGAAATCCACATAACATTAATAGCTAAACCAATGAAAAAGCTTATTAAATCTAATTTAAAAAATATTGTTTTTCTTAAAATATATAAGACCAGATAGTTTTAAGTTACTAGCGATGGATAAAAGAGAACCAAAGAAAGCTGTTACATCTCTGCATTGTGAATTGTGCTGTAATAAACATTGAATGGCAGGGTGTTTTTAAATAAATTTTTTTTATTCCTTTGATAATTATGCCCGTAGTGGAATTTTTTTTTATTTAAAAGAATGACAAAATTACCTGTAATAAGGGGCAAAAAAAAAATAAGATAGAATGAAAAATAATTTATTAAAGAGTTAAACAAACAAAAACTCCCAGAAATCTGTTCAACTAAGCATGCCAGTGAAGAGAGTGAAATCCAGAAGTAGAAATGAAATTTCTCATTTAGTGTGTCTCGCTTCTCTAT